TCAGCGTCATATCCAGAGGTTGGCTTTGGGAAATAGACGTATGAGTGCTGCCAGCATTGCTGCAGAAGTTGAAGGGGTGGTGGGTCAGCCTGTTAATGCTCAGACCATACGCTGCACACTGCATCAAATTGGTCTGTAGGGCTGTCATCCCAGAAGGAAGCCTCTTCTAAAGATGATGCACAAGAAAGCCCGCAAACAGTTTGCTGAAGACAAGCAGACTAAGGACATGGATTAGTGGAACCATGTCCTGTGGTCTGATGAGACCAAGATAAACTTATGTGGTTCAGATGGTGTCAAGCGTGTGGTGACAACCAGGTGAGGAGTACAAAGACATGTGTGTCTTGCCTACAGTCAAGCATGGTGGTGGGAGTGTCCTGGTCTGGGGCTGCATGAGTGCTGCTGGCACTGGGGAGCTACATTCATTGAGGGAACCTTGAATGCCAACATGTACTGTGACATACTGAAGCAGAGAATGATCCCCTCCCTTCAGAGACTGGGCCGCAGGGCAGTATTCCAACATTATAACGACCCCAAACACACCTCCAAGATGACCACTGCCTTGCTAAAGAAGCTGAGGGTAAGGGTGATTGACTGGCCAATCATGTCTCCAGACCTAAACCCTATCGAGCATCTGTGGGGCATCCTGAAACGGAAGGTGGAGGAGTGCAAGGTCTCTAACATCCACCAGCTCTGTGATGGCATCATGGAGGAGTGGAAGAGGACTCCAGTGGCAACCTGTGAAGCTCTGGTGAACTCCATGCCTAAGAGGGTTAAGGCAGTGCTGGAAAACAATGGTGGCCACACAAAATATTAACACTTCGGGCCCAATTTGGACAGTTTCACTTAGGGGTGTACTCACTTTTGTTGCCAGCAGTTTAGACATTAATGGCTGTGTGTTGCATTATTTTGAGGGGACAGCAAATTTACACTGTTATACAAGCTGTATGCTCACTACTTTACATTGTAGCAAAGTGTCATTTCTTCAGTGTTGTCACATGAAACAATATAATAAAATATTTACAAAATGTGAGGGGTGTACTCACTTCTGTGATATACTGTATAACATCAACCATTCTAGAACAACAATGAGATCTGGCCTGCCTCTTCACGAGTCCATGCAGCTGACCAGCAGCTGAGTACGGCACAGCATCACGTGGACTGTGATTCCCAAGCTCTTGTCGGCTCCATCGCTCTATGCCTACAAGCATGGCTGCGCTCGTGCAACTTTTCTGATGAGACAAAGAGATATGAGGGCATGCCTTTTGACGGGTCCAGACTTTTCAACATTCGCACTGACCACAAACTCAAGCACATCTACAAGGCCCGAGAGACCACCTGGCGAATGGAGATCCCGATTCAAAACAGACGTAAGTGGCCACAGTCTCATTCTTACAGCTATCAGCCTTATCAACAATATACCTCCTGTCAACAATACCAACCTCAACAGCAGCGAAACTGAAAACAACTGGCTGCCCTCTTTCAACAAGGTCGTCGCTGTCCTGACACTGACAAGCAACAGCATTGATGGGATACACGGACCTCTCTTCTCTTCAACTACCCACCTTCCCCTTTCCCTTTAGGGGTCCGACTGCAAGGAACGTTTCTACCACAAGCTCGAAAGGACAAGCTTCGGTCTTCCATTCATTGCATCTCCAACAGTCAAGTTGTTCCCGCGCTCTCCGTTCAGAAACTGCTCGGTCATATGGCCTCCACAGTCACAGTAGTACCCAATGCCAGGCTGCGAATGCAACCCTTGCAACTCTGGTTCAACCGTCTCTTTCACCCACAGTGCAATCCTCCACATCACCTACTGCTACCGCCCGCTTTCGTCCTACTGACTTTGACTTGGTGGACTATCAGCAACATCCTCTCTACAGGGGTCCCTTTTCATCAGCCACAACTGACAGTGACTCTCTACACTGACGTCTCCCTTATGGGATGGGGAGCACATTGTGCCAATCTTCGCATTCAAGGCACCTGGCACGGTCATGAAAAGTCCAGGCACATCAATTATCTGGAACTTCTAGTGGTCTTCAAAGCCCTTGGGTCTTTCAAGTCTACCCTTCGGGACCAAGTAGTTCAGATAGCCTCAGACAATGTCGTCACTGTTTTCTTTATCAACAAACAGGGCTGCACGAAATCTGCGCCACTAGCACATCTTGCTCTTCATCTTTGGGACTGGTGTATTCCCAGGAGGATTCCTCCTCTAACAGTCCATCTTGCCGGAGTCAACAACAAAGAAGCGGATGCCCTCAGCAGACATTTGTCAACAACTCACGAGTGGGAGTTGGATCGGCAGGTTTGTCAGCACCTCTTCCAACGATGGGGCATTCCAGACATAGATCTGTTTGCCACATTCGACAATTTGACATGCATGACGTACTGCTCTCGGGCAGGCATTGGCCCGAATTCGATGGGAGACGCACTGATGGTGGCCTGGACGAACACAGTTCTTTCACGCTTTCCCCCAATTCCTCTCATCATGAAAACATTAGGCAAAATTACTCAGGACAACGCCCAAAGAATCCTCATCACACCATGGTTTCCCACCATTCTTCGTCTCTCTAGAAGGACATTCTTCTGTCTTCCACAGATTCCTCACCTCCTTACCCAGGAGAACGGTGTGAATTGACATCCAGACCTCAATTCCCTGAATCTTACGGTGACTCATTCAGTGACTACTGCTCCATCTTCAGTACCAACACCTTCATCGAACCCGATGCTACCTACACAGCCTTCCGTCCCAAGGGAACCCTCAGTACCGACAAGGACCTCGAATCCATCTTTGAATCCGAGCACTCTCCAACCGGACACTCAGTTTATTCTCCAGTCCGCTCTAAGACAGTGACTTGATGTTCCTATGAGGCTAAATGGAAGCGCTTCACCTCCTTCGCATCAGCTAACCAATTTCTACCACACTCAGCCTCAATTGATAATATCTTGCTCTTTTTACTATCCTTGCATCAACATGGACTTAAACTGACTTCTATCAAAGTCTATATTGCTGCCATATCTCACTATTGTGGACTCATTTTCAGTTCTTCTGTATTTTCACATGTTCTCGTCTGTCATTTTCTGAAGGGATTACGGAATCTCCAGGCTCCAATTTGCTCAGTGGTACCAATGTGGAGTCTCTCAGTAGTTCTACAAGTGCTCACTCTAGCTACCACTGATTTGCGCCTTTTATCTTGGAAAACGGCTTTTCTTGTGGCCATTACTTTGGCCAGGAGGGCTAGTGAACTCTGTGCCTATGTGTTGACCCTTCTTACCTCAATTTCCATAAGGAGGAGGTTGTTCTTCTCACTGACCCAGCTTTCCTTCCTAACGTTGCAACGCCATTTCACATTAACCAGGACACTGTTCTACCAGTGTTCTTTCCTAGTCCCTCAACACCAGTAGAGCATGCTCTACATTGGCTCGATGTGAGATGCTGTCTGGCCTTCTACCAATCCTGTACGGAGTCCTTCAGGAAAACCAAGCATCTTTTCATAAAATACTTTGAGCATGATAAGGGCTCTGCCGTCTCTTCTCAGAGACTTTCCAGATGGATAGTCCAGACCATTGAAATGGCATGCAACCTGTCATAATTGGATCTTCCTGTCATACCCAAGGGACATTCCACTAGAGCTGTGGCAGCCTCTTCAGCTTTTTCTGCAGGCATTCCATTGCCTGATATCTGCAAGGCGGCAACATGGACGACCCCTTGTACATTTACTAAACACTACAGATGTTTCTGCCAGACAGGACTGCTCCTTCAGCTGTGTGGTCCTTTCCTCCATTCTTCACCGTCCTGCCTTCGGGTGTGGTAAGCTTACTAGTCACCCATAATGTGTGATGCACAGAGGCCACGACGAAGAAAGGCAAGTTGCTTACCTGTAACTGTCGTTCTTTGAGTGGCCATCTGTGCATTCACACAACCCACCCGTCGGCCCCACTCAGTGTCGGTGATTGGGTTTTTAAAAGTTTTTTCTCTCTAACCTACTGTTAACACACCAGTAGATCATAACTAATCGACATATTCTATCATCTGTATGCTCTTTGAGCATCATCTAGTTTTTTGTGTCTTGGGACACTTACGATTCATTCCTTTAGGGGGCGATTGGACGGTCTCCAGTAGACTGGGGAAAATGGCAGGCGCTCTGCCCTTTATGGTATAGTGGGGGAGGGGTGCGGCGTTCCCACCAAAATCCGTTAAAGCTTTGAATCTTTCCTGGCTGCAGGCACTGTGCAGGCACAGCACCCACAATGTGAGAATGCACAGATGGTCACTCGAAGAATGACAGTTAGAGGTAAGCAATTTGCCTTTACTTATCCAGCGTGGTTGGTCTTAAAGCTGTGAACTACCAAGCTTTCATGTTCAGATAACTGTTTCTGTGAAGAAGATTGGATGTTTATGTGATTACCTTCTCAGCAATAAGGAAGAGTTGGTCAAAGTTTTCCAATTGGAAGCACTCAGCCTCTCTAAACGAGAACTCAATACATTAAGCCTGAAAGCTGATTGTGATGCTGGGGCCATGATGGGAGCCATAGAGTTGCACTATCATTACTGGCTCCATTTCATAGGGCTGTCTCAGGAGGATCTATTAGGATTAATAGGCTTGCTTTTTATTTGAGATAGTTTGTTTGAAGGATCCCATGCTAAAGGAGACTGCAAAAAAAATGAAGCTAAATTATCATACAAAATTAACAAAAATTAATCTGAAGAACACTATTAGAAGTTAGAAAATGCAAAGTAGAAAAAATAAGGCTCTTGATGCAGGCAATTAGGTTCTTCATTGTGTTTCCTATGTATTCCTATTGGCCCACTGCCAAAATTTAGTCATACACTGGGGCCCAAAGGCTCTCCATCTTATATATTGTTAAAGAGTTGTGATCAAGTTAATAAGTTCTGTTTTAGAACACTTAAAACTATAGATGTTGGTGCTATTATTTTATGCTACGTGTTTTTTCAACTTATCTTTGGTTATTTCTGTTCCTGATTACACTTTTCCTTCCTTCAGTGCTTTGTTTATCAGATCAGTTCCGATGTGCCAGTGGGCAATGCATTGGAAAAAACAAAAAATGTGACCACAACTTAGACTGTTCGGACAACTCTGATGAGCAGGGATGCTGTAAGTATACGTGTTACATTTAAATGTTATTCTGCGAGAACTATTTCAGCCCAACTCATGAATTACCCTGTTTGTGGAATGCAGAAGATGAAAGCAGGCTTTATTGTTTTGGACGCTATAGCTAGCTAGTTGAAACTGATAATGATTCCAGAATTCAGTATTCAGATGGGTGCATGCACACATTTGCTATTAAGTACATGCCTTGTTACATGCAGAATGCATCAAAAAGTATAACATTCCAGCTAGGGTTGGGTCAAACCCTTTCACAATCCATCCTTCTAACATCCATGAACTTCCTCTTGTGCTCAGCCTGGACCTGCAAAGTGAGCCTAGCCAGAAGGAAGTCTGCAAGTGTTTGCAGACCCCTAGTTGGGCTACCAGCAATTTTCCTAATCAGGAGTGGCTGCAGGATGCAGAAGAGGGGCACTGCAAGCAGGTGCACAAGGTGCCATTCCTGGCAACAAACTTCCTTCCCCACCCACTGCTGCCAGCAGTGACAGCAGGTATGAGAGTGGGTGCTGCAAGTGCATGTACCAGGCACTATTCCCAGTGCCCAACCTGCTGGCAGAAGTGGCAGGGTGCCTAAGAGGGGTACCGCCTGCACTGCCTGTGGGGCTCAGTTCCTGGCAAGTGTTCCTTGAACCCTGAGAACGCTTGACAGGAACTCAGCCTCTGGGTTGTTGATGCCAGGGAATCCAATGGATTGTCGCTCCAAAACAGAATCCTCACATACTCCTAGTTCTACCTGTACTCATTTCTATAGTCATATCCCTATGTGCAACTATCATTGGGGGGGCGGGAGGGGGGCAGAGCTAACTACAGTCTCTAAACAGCCTTCTCCGTCCACTCAGTATTGCTGTTCTTTAAGAAGTGAAGCATTTTTTTTTTAAGGGAAAGAACCTTTTTAAAAAAGGAAGTTTAACCACTGAGGTATATACTTCTTAAAGACATGAAGTGTGGCAATTCAGAAACCTAATTTTGTAAGCACTGCAGTTTATGTTTTAAACGTATCCCAAGGCTTTCAAAAAGATCACTAAAATGGATTCCAAAATGCATATTGTTGTAATACTTTTATTGAACAGCTGAAAGATCAGGAGAAAATGCACAAGTTTTCAAGATCTCCAGATCTCTTTATCAGGTAAGGTTATGGGGTTGGCAGAGTGGGGAAGAAAAATCACTGACTAGATGGTGAAGTAACTTTGCCTGCAAGTTCAATCCAGTCTGAAGCTGAAGTATGGGAGGAGCTAAAGAGATCTGGAGATCTCAAAAGCTTGCCCATTTTATTTTCTGATCCTTTGGTTAACTTTTTGAAAGATGAAATACCCCACCCTTCACATGTTTAAATAATACAAATAGTTCCTTTGCTTTGTTCTTGACCCAGCACCAGCACCAAGTACAATATTGCAGCACCACAGTGTACAAGTAGTACTTTGATGGCAAGGAGGTGGAGGGAATAGCTGTTTCACAGCATCCCTGCCCTCTGATTCCCACTGCAAACAAAAGAGCATCCTTAAGGCATTTCTCTACCAGCTGTCTTTAAATTGTTGTGAGTGATTCCTGCTCAGCACAAAAATGAATTTATTCATGAAATAGATGGCTTGGGAACAATTCAGCATTCTTTGTCGTGGCCTCTGTGCATCACGCATATGGGTGCTGTGCCTGCACAGTGCCTGTAGCTGGGAAGATTCAAAAGCTTAGCGGTTTTGGTGAGAACTCCACACCCCGCCTTATAGCATAAGAAGGTGGAGTGCCCACCATTTCCCCAGTCTTCTTATGACCTCCATTTGTTGTGTCTCGAGCCCCTCGTCTCTTGCCATAAATATACTTACTGTTGTTCTAGCCTTGTATTGTTCTCTTTATCCCTCATTAGATTCCTTGTTAAGATCTCCCTTCCAAGTTACATTACCTCCCCCATCCTTTCCAATCCTCTTTCCCCTTTCCACCCACAAAAAAATTATATACAAAATAATAAACCCTTCTATTGTTACTCTTTTCACTGTACTTTGCTATCCTCTATTTTTCTCTAGGCACAGAGTGCGGCTTTCTGCAGGTGTTTCCAGTGCAGGGTCAAGATGTCCCCCCAACCCACATGATCTGTTCCTTCTCTGTCTGGGAGAAGATCACAGAACTGATATGTGCTGCCACTGTCAGTCCTTCACTAAGCAGGCACGAAAAAACTGTGAAACCTGCCTGCGTAAATTACTCTGGGACCAGACTCTGGCTGCCTCCGACCAACTCACAGCCCAGCCCACTCCACAGCTCTCTTCCTTGGCTGCGCCTCCCTCTCACCCATCAGCAGATGGAGTGACTTTGCCGAAGGCTCAACGCTTCTCTCGCTCTCCTTGCAAACAAAAGGAGAAGAGGAAGCATAGTGGTTAGGATAACTCCTCGGTCCATGAGAAGGCCAAGAAAGACAGGGTGGACAAGTCAGCCTGTAAGTTGAAGAAGGCCGACCAGCCGCATTATCAAGACTCGGGATCGTCCACTCCGTCAGTCCCAACCATGGCATCGATGCCGACACAGACTGGCCCTAGCCTTCAGCTGGCCATGCAGGTGACCCTTCAGCAGATCATTACCTCAGCCCTGTCTTCACCAGACTATCAAGAGGCAACTTTACTGGGATCCATTTCTGATGGAGAGATCCGGTACTCTCCTCAGATGGCCCCTTGATGGCACACTCGCTGACTCCACAGCCTTCACCTGAGTTTTCCCTGAGGGCTATCAACAGGGTCATCGCCCTGTCGATAAGCAGCAACGTTGAGTGAACCTCGCTGTTGTGAGGCCGGAGCACTCTTCCAAATTACTCACACAGGACCAGGCAAAGTCTTTTATTCTAAAGGACTTCAAAGCTATGCAGGCAATGAATAATACAGGAGCTTGTTAATGGCGGTTCTATACAGCATAGTTGCCCCCTCCTTTCTGACCTTTCTCGGATTCATGATGCACTCTTCACCCGGCGCAAATGCCCCTCCCTTCGAGGGATAGATAAACTCCTTTCTGTTCTCCTTTCACTTTCCCTTAACTCTAATTGTTCCAAGCAGCGTAAACTCCTCCTGTTGAGCACTCTGTCTGGCAACAGGCTGCTCCTCCAGTTGCCTAGCTGTGCTATCTGGATGTGGAATGTTGCCTTCCTCTGGCTCAAGAAAAACTTGGTCAGAGTCAGGTAGCAGGGGTCGGGGGTTGTGCAATGGGCATCAAATAAAAATCTTCTTGCTCTAAAGCCTTACTCTCTCTGGGAGCTTCTTGTTCTCTCACACGTGCTAACGACTCCTCTGAGTCGTTAGGCAGACACTCTCCTCTCCTCCTAAACCCACCCTCCCCTCTTCCTTTTGGGGGTCAACTGCAGAGTCTGATTGGTGGGTTTTGTCCATTGTGGAGCACAGATATAAAATCGAGTTTGATACCATACCCCCTTTGGGAATGATCCGATATACACCTTCTTCTTCAGTTCTCAAGGATGAAGTTTCTCATCTGCTTTGTAAAGGAACAATTCGGCAACTTATGCCCTTTGAGGGGCTCCATGGTTTGTACTAGAGATATTTTTCAGTCCTGAAACAGGACAGTGGTCTGCACTCGATACTGGATCTATGTGGCGTCAATAAGTTTATCAAAACAAAAAAAATTTGAATGACCACCCTTCAAAATATCCTTCCGTTGCTCAGGAGAGAGGATTGGTTCGCATCTCTGGACTTGAAGGATGCTTACTTCCACAGCAGCATCCATCCATCTCACAGACAGCTGCTCCGTTTTACAGTCGGCTTCAATCTTTTTGAGTAGAAGGTTCTCCCTTTTGGGCTTGCTACTGCACCAAGACTCTTCACAAAATGTATGGCTCCTGGCTGCGCCCACCTGAGGCTGCAAGGAATCCACGTTTACCCATACCTTGATGACTGGTTGATCGTCTCCTCTTCTAGAGAAGGCCTTCTATCAGCGATTCATACAACATGTTCCCTCCTTGATAATCTTGGATTTTGTATTTACCATGAAAAATCCTGCCTTGTTCCTTCGCAGATCATCACCTTCATCAGAGCCCGCCTTGAATCTCTGTGCGCACGTGCCTTTCTTCCTCGTGATCATCGGGAGAAGCTTTGCTTGTCTATTTGCTGATGCATCATGTCGGCTACAACTTGAGGGCCCTCATTGGTGCTGTAGCCCTCTGTTGCCCTGCCTGTCTCAGGAACGGCAACTTTCCGGATGAGACCAAGAGAAGGATTGAGAACATGCCCTTTGACGGCTCTGGGCTGTTCAACGCGAAGACAGACCACAAGTTGAAGAATATCCATGAGGCTTGCGTCACCACTCAACGTATGGAAGTTCCTGCTCAGAGTCGACATAAGTGGTCCTGGTCTCGTCCACAGTATCGGTATCAACCATACTCCCAATACTCCAGCTGGCAGCAGTTCCAGACCCTTCAGCAGCACATCTGCAAACAACCAGTTCAGCCCTATCAACAGGGTTGTCGCCGCACTGACTCCGATAAGCAGCAACATTGATGGATTGAGCAGACCTCTCATCCTAAACCCACCCTCCCCTCTTCCTTTTGGGAATCTATTGCAAAGTCGACTCTCCATTTGGGAGTCTATCAAATCTGATCAGTGGGTTTTGTACATCGTGGAGCACAGATGTAAAATTGAGTTTGATACTGTACCCCTTTCGGGACCGATCTTATATACACCTTCTTAGGTTCTCAAGGATGAAGTTTCTCAGCTGCTTCATAAAGGAGTAATTTGACAACTCACGCACTCCGAGGGGCTCCATGGTTTTTACTCGAGATATTTTAAGGTCCCGAAATGGGATGGTGGTCTGTACCCGATATTGGATATACGTGGATTCAATAAGTTCATCAAAATGAAAAAAATTCGAATGACCACCCTTCAAAATATCCTTCCATTGCTCAGGATAGAGGATTGGTTCACATCTCTGGACTTGAAGGATGCTTACTTCCACATCAGCATCCATCCATCTCACAGTCGGCTGCTTCGTTTTACAGTCAGCTCCAATCTTTTTGAGTTTAATGTTCTTCCCTTCTTGCTTGCTAGTGCACCAAGGGTCTTCACAAAATTCATGGCTCCTGTCTGTGCCCACCTGAGGCTGTAAGAAATCCATGTCTACTCATACCTTGACGACTAATCAATCATCTCCTCTTCTAGAGAAGATTTTCTATCAGCTATTTGTGCAACATGTTCCCTCCTAGACAATCTCGGACTTTGTATTAACCATGAAAAATCCTGCCTTGTTCCTTCACAGATCATCGACTTCATTGGAGCCTGTCTCAATTCCCTGTGTGCATGAGCTTTTCTTCCTCGGAATCATCGGGAGAAACTTAACTCGTCCGTTCACTAAATCCACAAGGACAGAACTGTGCCTTCTCTGTCTATCCAGAAACTACTGGACCACATGACTTCCATGATCTCTGTGATCCCCAATGCCAGGCTGCGGATGAGGCTGCTGCAACTATGGTTCAGTTGCCTCTTCCACTCGCAGCACAATCTTCACATTGTCTGCTTCACCTGCCTACCTCCATCCTTCGGACTTTGACATGGTGGATGGCGGAGGACAATCTATCCATCGGAACCTCGTTCCATCTACCTCAACCGTCATTGACTCTGTACATGGATGCCTCCCTCATGGATTGGGGAGCTCTCTGTGCCGGCCTTCACACTCAAGGCACCTGGCACAGCCACGAGACATCCAGACACATCAATTACCTAGAACTCATGGCATTATTCAGAGCCCTTTGGTACTTCAAGAACGCCCTTTGGGTCTGAGTCATTCAAATAGCATTGGACAATATTGTCATGGTCTTCTACATAAACAAACAGGGCAGCATGAAGCCTGCCCACCTAGCTCATCTCACTCTTCGACTTTGGGACTGGTGCATCCCGAGGGGAATCACTTCTCTTGCCATTCGCCTTGTTGGTACCGACAACGAGGAAGCGGATGCCCTCAGCAGATATATGTCAACGACTCATGAATGGGAGTTGGATCGCCAAGTCTGTCATCATCTCTTCCAACTATGGGGTCTTCCGGACATAGGCCTTTTTGCTGCACACAACAATGTGGTCTGCAAGACGTATTGCTCCCGAGTGGGCATCAATCTGAACTCAGTTGGGGACACTCTAATGGTTCCATGGACAGACAGATTTTTCTACACGTTTCCCCCAGTACCACTAATTACAAGGACTTTAGCCAAAATCAATCAGGACAATGCTCAAGGGATTCTCTTCACTTCTTGGTGGCCTTGTCAACCATGTTTCCCCATCATCCTTAGTCTCGCCAACAATGCTTTTTGGCAGCTTCCTCGGGTCCTGCATCTTCTAACTCAACAAGACGGAGCAGTTCAACATCCAAACCTTCACTTGTTGAATCTGATGGCCTGGCTCATTTGATGAGCTCTACAACTTCACCCATATCGATAGCCTTGTCGGATTCGACACCAACCCGCTGGCTCCCTGCCACAGCTGTATCTTCATCTCCAACAGCAGGAAATGACTCTTCATTGAATCCAAGCACTCTACATCCCAACATACAGTTCATTCTTCAATCTGTGCTAAGACCTGCTACTCGCCGTTCATATGCGGCTAAATGGAGGCGCCTTACTTTGTTTGGTGATACCAACCATTTAGCCTCTCAGTCGGCTTCCATTGAGAACACTCTCCAATTTCTCCTGTTTCTACATCAGACTGGACTGAAAACTTCCTCCATTAAGGTCTACATTGCAGCTATTTTGCATTACTGTGGCCCAGTATCAGGTTCATTGCTGTTTTCCAGTGTCCTTGTCTGGTGCTCCTTGGGAGGACTACAGAATCTCCAGCCACCAGTTCGATCGGTCATACCGACATGGAGCCTTTTTGTCGTTCTACAAGTGCTTACTTAAACCTCCTTTTGAGCCTTTAGCTACTACTGACTTGTGTCTACTGTCTTGGAAGACGGCTTTCCTCGTAGCTATCACATCAGCCAGGAGGGCTAGTGAAATCTGTGCTCTTCGTATCGGCCCTCCTTACCTCAACTTCCACAAGGAGAAAGTTGTTCTCTGCACCAACATGGCTTTCCTGCCAAAGGTTGTTTCTCCGTTTCACGTCAATCAGGGCATTGTCTTACCGGCTTTCTTCTCTGCGCCTTCAACTCTTTTAGTAACACAAAACGTCTCTTCATCAAATATTCTGAGCATGGCAAGGGCTCCCTGATTGGGTCTCAAATGCTCTCTAAATGGATCGTCCAAACCATTGAGCTTGCTTATCAGTTCTCCAAGTTAGAGTTGCCTGTAATGCCCAGAGGCCATTCCACAAGAGCTGTTGTGGCCTCTTCTGCCTTCTCTGCTGGTAGTCCGCTGCATGACATTGGCAAGGCAGCCACCTGGACTACACCTTGCACATTTGCCAAGCATTATCGCCTAGACATTCGTGCCAGACAGGACTGCTTCTTCGGCTGTGCAGTCCTCTATACATTTTTTCAGTTGCTGGCATGGTCCTGCCTCCGGGTGTGGTAAGCTTACTAATCACCCATATGTGTGATGCACAGAGGCCACGACAAAGATAGGCAGGTTGTTCACCTGTAACTGTCATTTTTTGAGTGGCCATCTGTGCATTCACAGAACCCACCTGCCAGGCCCACTCGGTGTCGGTGACTGGGTTTACTGAACCAGCTTGACTATGCGATTATATGTGTTTTCCATACTTACCTCATGTGCCTCATTGTGAGCACGTTTTTGGTTATTATATGAATGTATAATGCTTGCAGTCTCCACTTGGGGGCGAACGGTTGGCTTTCAGTAGACTGGGAAAATGGCGGGCACGCTGCCTTCTTATACTGTAGGAGGGGAGGGGCACAGAGGTTCCGCCAAACAGTTAAGCTTTTGAATCTTCCTGGCTACAGACACTGCGCAGGCGCAGCATCCATATGTGTGATGCACAGATGGCCACTTGAAGAATGACAGTTACAGGTAAGCGACCTGCCATTCTTGCTCCATTGTCCTAGCAGACAAGAGCATGAGAATATTCCACATGATCATGCATTGCAATGGAACCTTCCAAATGTGGCAGCTGGCAGGGAAGATACAGTTTGGCAGCATCTCCATGTTAAAGGATTATGGTCCAGCTCTTATTTTCCATAGCTAGCTAATATTAGTTATTCTATTGGAGAAAGTACTTCTGTATATCTGCTACAGATGTCATCAAATTCTCCTCTCTCCCATAGTGTTGTGCAGCCAAATGAGATTCCAAAACTATAAACTATAGTTGATATGTATTTTTTGGTTCTCTCCTTACTTCTAGACACAACTGAAGAACCAGCCCCCCAAGCAACAAATACTATAGGTTCTATCATTGGTGTGATTCTCACAGTTTTTGTAGTTGCTGCAATGTATTTTGTTTGCCAGAGGGTGCTGTGCCCGCGCATGAAAGGAGATGGAGAAACAATGACCAATGACTATGTGGTGCATGGACCAGCTTCTGTACCTCTGGGCTATGTTCCTCACCCAAATTCTCTCTCTGGATCTCTTCCTGGTTAGTCAACAGCCTTAAAAAAAATTCTGAGGTGTGATACGTAGAATATTATCTCTGTTAGGAAGTTTTTCCATGTTATACTGATATACTTTTGCTGATATTTATGCCGGCTTTCCAGTTTGGTTAATTAAACTTTAAAAGATTTATTTATTTCATTTTTATACCATCCTAAGGTTCGCTGGGTAGTTAACAAAAGTACTTGAAATTAGAACCCTTAGTTATTTTTATAATCGAAAGTGTCACATGTTCTATCTGCTTCTTCCACTATAGTACATTCAATAGTTACTAAACCTTTTATAAAATAAAGCTGAAATAAGATATACCAAATAACTGTTTACCAAAATGTTCTGGGCAGCTTAGCTGACAGGAGTCATGCTGAAAAATGATCAGAAAAGGTACACTGACCTAATTAAATAGCCTGTAGGCTGTTGTGCATGAGCAGGAGAAAGCCAGTGCACCTCCTGCAGCACAGTCATCACTTCTACCCCTCACCCTAACCCATGGCTTGTTGTTGAGTTTACTACTCTAAAAATCAGAAGTTCAAGTTTGGCCTTCATGCTCAGCAGCCTACAAATTGCTACTCATGGGTTTCTGAGTAAAACTGAAAGTGGTAGGTGTAGCATGCATGCTTGCTCCTATTTGTCTCTAACATCCCATGGGTTATTATGCTCCCTGGGCTGTTGTTACATGTAAACTAGCACAGGATTTTGGTATCAAAATACACATCTAAGAATTAGCAACTGAAACTGACTGCCTGTAAAACAGAAGAACCCATCCACCCCCACTTTGAATTTTATCTCTTAAAATTAAACTGCTACGTACAATATTATGTCAGTGTATTTACTAGTACATCGAAAACTTTGTATGAATACTGAGATGACAATAAAAACTTATTCTGCTTCTAGCACAGATTATGCAAAGTAAGTATATTTGCACATTTGTACTTTCCCAGAAAACTGTAGAGTATCTAGTTCTACAGAAACTGCAGAATTTGGTGAGGGGGCAGCATTGCCATACTTGTCCTTTACCAATGATATTGCTGCTCTTTTCCCACTATCATTCTGACCCTCTACAGATTTCTATACAGAACAGTTAAAGTCACTGTGGCAATGTGAGTGTAATAATTTATATTATCTGTTTCATACTATTGAGAAAACATAGCTACTATTAAGGTTGTTTAGATACATGATACTTAGGCCTTTCCTATTGATAAATACTTGTCTAGGAATCACAGTTCTGAATGTTTAAATGTTTAAAAAAACTTTATGTTTAATTTGTTTAGGAATGTCCCGTGGCAAATCTGTAATCAGTTCACTGAGTATTATGGGTGGAAGTAGCGGACCTCCATATGACAGGGCTCATGTTACTGGGGCATCATCCAGTAGTTCTTCAAGCACCAAGGGCACATACTTCCCTCCAGTAAGTCATCTAACAATAACCATTTTGTCCACACTGCACAGCTGAGCCTAGAGCTGAAAGCTTATTGGTTCAACTTGTTCTCATTAAAAAAGGAGATTAACAGAGCAATTCTGTTTCCCAGTGTGGTGTGCTCCACTGGGATACCAGCATACCTTAAACCTTGCCAGGTTCATGAATGGTGGGGCTGGGGCTGGCCCACTACTCTCCAATTTCAAGTAACGGAATTAAATTATTTATATTAGCTCCAGGGTTGGCATTAATTTGGCTCCTTGATGGAGACATGGTTTCCCAAGATAGACCACATTGCTCCCTGATTTCCCCTGTCATTTGAGTGCCAATGTCCAGGAGGTAAAAATTGCAGAGCTGGGTAGCAGGATTTAAAGTTGGATCTTCCCCTTCAAGGATGGATCTTTCTCTTTATTCAGGAGGAAAGATCCAAGCTATCTTATGGTTCCTGGAATGTGTCAAGTGATCATTGTAACAAAATCCAACAAAATGGGAAGCCTCACAAAGAATACAAAAAATGCTGGAGGGTTAGCAAAAATGTATTTCATTTCACAAAAATAAATACTTTATTCATTTATGTGTTACATGTTTATACTAATGCATTTCAAACTACAGTAAAACCTTGGATTTCTAGTAACTTGGTCTGCGAGTGCTTTGCAAGATGAGCAAAAAGTTTTTCTAAATTTTAACTTGATAAACAAGTGATGTCTTGCAGTACGAGTATTACGTGTGCTTTGCCTGCCGAGCGTCAGGTCACAATAGCGCTGGTTCTCTCTCTCGCTGCAGGTGTGAGTACAGCATCGTCTTCCCCTGAGTGCGCCCACGAGCGCACCCGCCTGCACCCCAGTGCTCCTGCGAGCGCACTCGCTTCCCCCCAGTGTGTCCGCGATCGCGCCCACCTCCCCTGAAGCACGCCCGCCTCCCCCTCCCCCCGAGCATGCCTGCTTCAAATTTTTGTGATTAAAAAAAAGTTACAGAACGGATTAACCTTATTTACATTGAACCTTATGGGGAAATTCACTTTGATATACGAGTGCTTTGGAATACAAGCACGTTTTCGGAACAAATTATGCTCACAATCCAAGGTTTTACTGTATCTGTAGGTCCTTTTTCAGTGAAATTGTTTAGGGACCAACATAATCAATTCATATTACAGAATTTAAACAAGATCCTATATTTTAAATTATGTATATACATAAAAACTACAGTAACAATGCAACATTACTAAATGCAACATTGCATGATTCCACCCACCCCTGTGTAATGCCATCTCTGCCATTTCCTGTGACATTACTAAATTATCTAAAGGAAAAGAGGCACAAAGTTCCACATCTTATACAGATACAGAGTGGGCAGTTGCAGTTGTCTACACCTCTGTCCCTTGCAACTGTATATTTTTGAGGTTGGAAATGTGTGGCTGCCTAGATGCTGTTTGCTTTCATTCTCTTAAGGCAGCATAAGTGATAGGAGGATGGAAGTTGCAGTCCAACAATGTTCCAAGGGGCACAAATTGAATATCCCTGGTGTATTTGGAGGCACAAGTCACCTCTTCAAACATCCTATGCTGTTGGAGGTAGCTGTACAGTAACAGCAACCAATAACTGCTGCGTAAAATATGAAGTAGTTCTCATTTGTTTCCTTGTCAGATTCACCTGGATATTTTCAGGCTGCAAGCATGCCCTACTTTGGAATCTTACATTTGGGGGATTTCTTTTCTTTTGCTAACTTGTACAGAATTAAATTTCCGTCATCAGAAGCTTACTTTTACTTCAGCTGTATGTGTGAACATGACATTTGGAAATCTAATGGAAATGACTGTGTGCCTGAGGATGCCCAAAAATATTTTAAAGGAAGCTTGTCTTTGTATCCCAATTCTAAATTTATTGAATTGAAAGTAAACTTCATTGAATTCAATGGAATTTACTTCCAATTGAATGTCAGGATTGCAGCCCATATTTTGAAATTGTAATCTGGTTTTGGTTCCAAAGGCCAGCTTGCACAGCATTTGCAAGAGTAATGGATAAGAGGAGCTTCATTTCAAATGCTTCCAAGTTTTGTAGTTGTCCATTTGGCTCTTTGGACAGGAAAGAATTCTGAGGGGTCTCCTGGGAAATAGATATTTTATAAGCAATAAGGAAACTCCCCCCATGATACCCCATGTGTGAAGAATATTGGAGGTAGAACAGATGTGAAAGTGCTGTTGGGAAGTAATTCCGTAGTGTTGTTTACACCATTCTGACTGGGAATGAGGAGTTAGCATGTACGTATAAACTTGCCTTGCACTGTGGAATTCAGAATATTGCTTTGCTTTATCTCAGTCCAGACACTTGTGCTGCGTCGGCAACAATCTTTTCTTCTTGCAAAGTGTGTGATTGTGCCAATTTTTGTTATATAAGGTGGTTGAGCTTATGCTGTCGTATCTTCTTTCTGTGACAGAACCAGAGTCCCTTGTCTTTTGTGCAGATTCATTTAGAAGACTTAGCTCTTTGTTTTTCCTTGCCAGAGTAAAAAAAGGAATATAAATGCAATGTAATAATCATAATAACTTGAAACAATGATTCCTGAGGTTTACTGTTGAGGACAACGAGGTGTACTACGTTTGCTCCATAATGAAAAAGTGTGTCCTGGATAGTGTGTATTCTTGACTTGCATGATTCCACCCACCCCTGTGTAATGCCATCTCTGCCATTTCCTGTGACATTACTAAATTATCTAAAGGAAAAGAGGCACAAAGTTCCACATTTTATACAGCAGTATAATAAATTCAATGGTATAATATCTCAGGATCATGGTTGTACTTCAGACTCAAATCTTCTGCACTATATCAGAGCAGAGTGGAGCCAAGCCAAGCTGGGATTTGTGCACAAGCTAATACGTGCACAATTCCCAGTTGGAAATAGTTTGGTTTTGTAGCAACATTGCAAGGTTAACTGACATCAGTGTATTTAACCCCAGTAACGACCTAGTTTTCTTTTCCAAATGAACCCTTATATATTTTTATAAGAACTTGTTCTATTATTGTTTTAAAATTTATTGCTGTATGTGGGATTTCATCGGTTTGGGGCTTCTTAGATAGGAATATGATTCATAGAGTAATTAAATAAATAGATGTTCTAGTTATTCCTCAATTCTGCTCCAAGGGGACATTCTGAAAGCATGTGCTAGAGCAACCTTGAACTACTATCATGGATGAAAAGTGGAATGTTAATGAAGACTACCAGAAGCAGCTACCATTAAGTTTGCAACCCCTTACATAACTTGGGAGTAAGATTCACTTAATTCAGTAAGGCTTACTTCTGAGTAGACAAATCTAGGATTATATTATAAGGGTGCCATCCAATACTTGGAAGATTTATTTATTTATTTAAAACATTTCCATGCCGCCCCCATCGCAACAAAGCCTCGGGGCAGCTCACAAAAAATACACAAAAACATACATAAACAATAACAATATAATAATTTAAAAGAAAATAACATTAAAAAACCCCCAGTGCATTCTCAGCTAATTTTAAAATCCTAATAAATACAATAATTTAGCAATTAAAATAAGTTTTAAATAAAAAGGTCTTAGCCTGGCACCAAAAAACAAATAATGATGGTGCCAGGCGGACCTCTCTGGGGAGTGCATTCCATAGATGGGGCGCCACCGCAGAGAAAGCCCTCCTCTGGGTACTCAGCCTCCTAATATCATTCACAGAGGGTTCCCGGAGAAGGGCATCCGTTGCTGATCTCAAGGGATGGGAGGGCATATATGGGCGCAAGTGTTCCTTTAGATATCCAGGTCTCAAGCCGTTTAGGGCTTTATAGGTCATAACCAACACCTTGAATTGGTTATGGGTATCCAATGAAATTTGGGGATGCCATGGAAGCTTGGATTGCATTTATGTTCCTTTCACCCTCCAAATCATTCAGATGGCTGATTTTGAATGTCTAAATGTTTTCCCTGTCTTTTCAAGGAAGAGAGGCCAAAGTACCACTTGGATTCTTCATAGAGCAGCAGCACCTCACTCATCCCCACTTATCTAGAATGCGTTGTCAGTGCCTGCTCCAAAGATGATCTTCTGACTTTGGAGCCTCAGCTGGTGCAGAATGAACAGTGCCAAGTGTGAGGACAGAGGCAGAACCCTCCCAAAGATGGAGCCCCTGTTGCAACCTTGAAGGCTTTTCTGAAGTAACATCAGGGACTCCTCCTTTGCCTATGGCTACCAGATAGCATTTACTGTCCAAAGAGAAGTAAAACATCAGTAGTAATTTGAACTAGTGCTGTGTTCATAAGGATTGCCTTATGGTTATGTTTAAACTTTGTCACAATTCAATTAAACTTAGCTCTCGAAACATCTGTTTTCCAGATTTTAAACCCTCCTCCATCACCAGCTACTGAGCGTTCACATTATACTATGGAATTTGGTTATTCTTCAAACAGCCCTTCTACTCATCGATCATACAGGTAATATTATTTGCATCCATTTTGACTCTTGGGTAGCCTTACCATGTTCACAAAGCCTTCATAGCCTACAGACACTTTTATTGTTACTATTATCTTGACATAAAGTAAAATCAGGGAGGCATTGAAACAAGGAAGTGTTGTAATAATTGGCAACTTGTATTGCCCCAACATCTACTGGATAAAAGCATATTTTTCTTCATTGTCTCCATGCATCATACATATGGGCTTCTGCACCTGCAAGGGGCCTAGATCGGAAGGACACAAATACAGCTTAGCATCATAGAGTGGCTGGGAGCCCTCTGCCCCTTCCAGTTTCTGGTTATATGAAAGGGGGGCTCCCAGCTAGTCTCTCAGTTTCCTTGTGCCCACACATTGCCTAGATTGGAAATCATTTCACTGTAGCAATCTGCCTTGCAAGTACTATTTTTGTTTTTGTCTTTGCCCGTTTTTCTCTACTCCCCCTGAAAATAAAAATAAACCCTGACTTCTGTATTTTGTTTTTCTCCCCCTTTTCCTTCTCTTGCCATTTTTTCTCTTGATGGTCTCTGACACAGTCTTCTGTAACTGCACCTCATGTGCAGCCTTCCTGCCCTTGGCAGATGGTCACTCCCTCTGCCCTCTCTGCCTTGGCAAGGGTCATGTAGTGGAGACTGTCCCGCACTCCCAGGTCTTCAAAAAACAGACAGGCAGCAGGCTGATTGGCTAAAATCGGCACTCTTGACAGCTCCATGTGACCAACTCCTCCAAGCCAGATGCAGAAAGGCCCTCCACCTCAACAGGCAGCGAGACCACAAGGCCAGGGAAGAGGCCCAGGAAAATGGCTGCCACCTTGACCAAGGAAAAACCTGCTGGGAACAGGTCCACAGCTCCTCACAAAAAGAGACATGGCACAAGCCCTAACCCACCTGCCTCATGAAAGATCAGCTCCCCAGCCAACCACCAGACCCCTGCCATCCCCAGAATGGACTCACTGGGTCACCGCTCCCCTGCATGCGAGTCATTGCCACCAACACCTGCAACTCGGAGGCAGTGCTCCCCCCATGCCACCACATGATCCTTTGTCTGAGAGCCTGCCAACCTTGCTCTTCCCCAGGTGGAACTAGAACCTGTCCTGCTCTCCCCTTCTTGACTGGGACCTCAACTCTGAATGGTACCTGACCTCTACTTATCTGAAGGAACTTTTGGAATTCTTGAACCTTTGAGCCAACCCATCTACTCTTACCTTGTGCCTGCCAAAGGGCCTGCCCCAGGGATGCAGAGGATTCTGATTCTTCTGTGTAGGAATGTATTGCTCACTGTGGCCAGGAGAGGTCAAACACACTGCAACAGCAACACCATGATGACAGCTGATGATGGGGGCCTGCCGACTTCATCCCACACCAGCCTGGCACTGATGCTGGCCACCTCTGACACCCACCACTGATCCCACTCACATGAGCATGCTCGACATGAGGGCCACATAGATGTCATGCCTAATGATGGCAATCGCCCATGGCGCTGGCTCACAGCCAGCCGACACCATGTCGAGCCCCACACTGACGCAGCCTTCCCCAAGCACCAGGACACTTCCACACAGCCCCAGAACAACAGCAGCTCCGATGCTGGTTCGCCCAACTACCACTGTAGCTTGAGCTCACTGCACATCCAAGGGCACACTCCACATGTGCCCAGGCCTCATCAGCCACCCTTCTAACTGTGTTCCTCTGCACAACATCCACAGAGCTGCCACATGGTCCATGCCCTTGACCGTCATGTAGTGCCACCAATGTGCAAAACAGGACTGAGCCTTTGGCAGAGCTGTCCTCTCATGGATCCTCCAGTGACAACAGTCCCCTCCATCCTGCAAAGGGTAAGCTTGCTTATTGCCCATATGTGTGATGCACAGAGACCACAAAGAAGAAAGGCAAGTCACTTACCTGTATCTCGTTCTTCAAGTGGTCATCTGTGTATTCACACAACCCACTCACAGCTGTTGTCAGCCAGCTGTGGAGTACTAGGCAGAGGGAGGGACCAGCATTGCTCCTAGATCTCTGCCTTTTGGCCTCCAAAATGATGCACTCTCCAAGGCAACTAAGGAACTGGGGGAGAGCCCCCCCCCCCCCTTCATATAACCAGGAATTGGAAGGAGCAGAGGGTACTGTATGATACTAAGCTGTAGAAGTTTCCTTTCAATCTAGGCCCTGTGCAGGTGCAGAAACCCATATGTGTAAATGCACAGATGACCAATTGAAGAATGAGATACAGGTAAGTGACTTGCCTTTCCAGACATAACAGTAAAATTAAATTTTCTCAGTGTCCTAAACAGCTATAGCTAAGATCGTGGCATAGTCAGTCATGGAAAGAACCACAGAAGAGGCAAATCTGGACCGAATCCTAAATGTGCTACTCAGGAGTTAGTGCAAAATGTGAATGTTGAACCATTTGGAAATGCTGATCATAGCGCTATCAGTTTTAATTTATATTTAAGTGGAAAATAACCAAGGAAATCTAGTCAAAAGTTTACTTCAGAACAAGAAACTTCTCAAAAATTACCTCTTCCATCTTTACCTCACCACCCATGATTGGCTCCTTTGTAGATCATGGCAGATGACATGTGAACCCAGACTGCAGTATGCACTTTCATGCATAACTCCTCAGTTTTTTAGAAACTGGGGTATAATTATATGCAAGCAGGCCTGGTGATTACTAACTATGATAGCTACAAGCTGCTTTCAATATCAGAGGCAGTCTGCTTTGGAATACCAGTTGCTGGGCAATACACCCAAGAGGGTGCTATTGGTGTTGTCCTGTTTGTGGGTTTACCCTAAATAGCTGGTTGGCCACCTGTGTGGCCATGTTATGTTAGACCGTATTTACCTTTGATCTGATTTAGTGAGGCTCTTTTTAAGTTCTTATGGCAAAGCTCTTATTCCAGGTTCCTGGAGACTAGCCTGGCTCAGAAATGCCAGCCGGATGGCTGTTTGTTTCTGTTCCAATACCTTTCTTAGCACAGCAAGGCAATTCCGAGTTTTGTAACTACATGGTCTGGCTTTGGTGGTCTTTTGAGGTATACATATGTACTGACAAACTTTCTGACCCACCATTAAAATGTGCAGAGCAAATGAATGAGCATCTTGCTGGGTGAGATACACCTCTGCTTAGGGGGTATAGTTTGTCCAGGTTTGTTTTATTGCAAGTGCATGCAAAGCAATCTTTCATTGGGTTGTGTTGGCATTTTCCTTTTGTAATTGTTCAGGGAGTCCAAATTGTTTCTCATATGTAGTGGTGGCACATGGACAGGGATGACTGAGGTTCCTTTAGAATATCAGTGCTTGAATTCATCTGTTTTGTTCCAGTTACAGGCCATACAGCTATCGACATTTTGCCCCTCCGACTACACCATGCAGCACAGATGTTTGTGATAGCGACTATGCCCCCAGCCGTAGAGTGATGGCAACCATGGGCAAGGGTTATACCAGTGACTTGAACTATGATTCTGAGCCTGTACCCCCACCTCCAACACCACGCAGCCAGTACTTGTCAGCAGAAGAGAACTATGAGAGCTGCCCACCATCTCCGTACACCGAGCGGAGCTACTCACATCACCTCTATCCTCCACCCCCATCTCCCTGCACAGACTCTTCATGAGAGATTCCCTCCCTCTTTTGCCTGCCTCCAGTTCACCAGTGTACATACCAGTGGCCCCCCATCAAGAAGAGGGAGGACAGTGTGTACAGTTAAAATTTATTAAATGGGTTGGGGTGGGGATACTGGAGATGACTTGTACAGAAAACGGTGGGGATAAAATTGTTATTTATATATTTTCCTAAGAGTTTGCTGCTTTGTGCCATAAGAATTTTTAAAAATTTGTATGCAAAGGGTTTTTTTATTTTTCCATATGGAACACAAGAAAATGCCTTAAATCAGTGAAGTGACCGAGCACATAGGAAAATGGAAGGACCAGGGTTTGTTGCTGTTCAATGAGCCAAATACCAAAAAAGAAAGAAAAGAAGGAAAGAAAGAAGCTTTTTAACAAGAAAAAGAATGGAAGGAATCTATCATGAAACACAATGTATGAATACTTACAAAGAGCTGAATAACCTCTTACATTCTTAATTCTGATGTGCAACAATTCAAATTAAACTTGAAGAAAACTGTCAGACAGATAATTAATGGTACACAAAGGGCTTTATTTACTACAAGAATACAGCTATCACATCAGTGAAAAGAGATGCATTTACACACTTGCAAAAATGTACCCTTTGTTTCATTCAAATCATCTGAAGTAACTTGGTTGCATTTTGGGATCTCTTTGCCCCTTTCTGAGAACTGCATCATTTTGTTGGTTCTAGTTTTGTTTAAGGCTGTGAGCTTTGTATTTGTGGGACTGTTCATTTGGGTCTCAATATTTTACTTCGCTGAGGTAGAAACAGTCACAGCTGGGACTTGTGAATTCATTCTGTGTTCTATTTTGCAGGGTCAGGAAGATCCTACATTCAAGTAAATGTTGGGTCTCTTGATGTCTGTGTTACCTGTCTGTAGGGGGAGAAGCAGAAGAGAGAGTGCACAAATCTAAGGCCTGCTCCCTGCTTGCCAGAAGTAAAATCTGGGAGGTGGGGTGCAAGTAAAAGATGGAAAGGCCCCTTACGAGGATTTAAGTGTGTGTGCATGTGAATGTGAACGTGAAAGAAGGGGTATTTTTTCTGCCAGTACAGTAGGATCACATTCTCATACCAGGTCAGTGCTGTTCCATGCTAATGATAAGGGTGAATATACCTGAATAACTCCCAGCTCCTCAAATGTTACAGTGCCCCAAAAGTCATATTTTTATACCACATAATATAGATGGCATATTTATGAACCATAAAATGTAACTTTGAAATATTAGTTTAATGTAAATGAAATCTTAGATCCTTGCAGTACTTTCAGTGTATAATAAATATCACAATATACAGTTCATATATATTAAAATACTAGTTTTCTTTCTTAGGAAGCATTTGCGCCTTTTTTGAGTCAGAATGCTTTCTGTCAGAAATACTTCTTGTGGGTGCAATGTTCAATAAGCCAGTTATTGCTGTATGACTCCAACTGCTGCTTCCTTTTCTGTGGCAAAACTTCAGTTCTTAAGCTTAAACCACTGTGAATGCCAGTTCTGAAATTTATTATTTGCCAAAGTTTTTTTTGTTAACTTTGTATATTTTATGTTCTCTTGTCTATATCTCTCCACTGAGTTGAAAGAGATACCAGGTTTTCATTGATGAGAGCCAAGTCCTTTAGCAACTGGAGTATGCTGCCTTTTTGCTGTTTGGGCACTAAGCACCTAAGTTTTGATGGAGACTTTCCTGGGATTCCACTGTTGGAACCTAACTATCATGAAAACCTGCACAGAGAGCCTTCCTTCTGTAATTTGTGAAAAAGTCAGTATTATTGCACTGATCCACATGGATGTCAAGTAATTTTATTGCCTTCACTAAGAGTTGCTTCATATGTTATGTGACAGTCAGGCATTTAGAAGCAGTTGAAAGATTCGTGGACAAGGCCCATAGGACATAAAAGCTTCACCAAATTTTCATATGGTAACTAGCACACAAACAGAAATAATTCCTAAGATTTATTAAGCTTCAACCATTGAAGAAGGCTGTACCATTAAAGGTGGTCTAAAATACTTTTTAAATAAATAAATACTTGCTCAAATGGATACTCACCCCATATCTTGGCAAATATTCTGTTCCCCTGCCCATTTCTAATTTCCCATTTGCAGGAAAATTGACCCAACATACTCAATTCAGTTTAGAAGAAAAGCTTCTGTTAGCATCAATGGAATTTGCCCCATTTAAACGGATGAAGGGAGAATGTTTCAGTTAGTAAGAAGGGGAGGGTCAGCTCCTCCCTTATGACCTTTAATTCTTGAATACCCCACCCCCCATATGGCAATTAGGGTAAAAAAGAAACCACTATTCTATTTACATAAATGGTCACTTAGAGCTTTAAGGAAAACATATTTTCGGGACCCCAGCCTATCTTGTTAGCTGTGATTGCACCTGTATTGCAGCATTTGCCAATATTAAATTTTGATGGTTATCTTCAAACACTTGGACCAACAGTAGATACAGAGTGGACAGTTGCAGTTGTCTACACCTCTGTCCCTTGCAACTGTATATTTTTG